AAAAAAAAAAAAAAAAAAAAACAACAACAACTGTAGTCTTTCCTCTCAGTTTTGAAGGCAAGAGAAGAACTTTTTCCTCTGACTCTACAGGTGGTTTCTGAAAGTGCTCTCCAGATGACCTGAGGTGACTGACAAGTCTATTTCACATTCACAAACAAGTTTAATAGGACCTGCATATTAACAAGAGTAATAATTTGTTATAGCTAACCGGAATAATTTTTCTATTCACTTATTATCTAGACACTACTCTTCCAAGTTTCTCATTGGGTTATTCTTTAGCTTACCATAGATGTAACTGATCGTGCATCTTCTTCATAATTGACTACTGGAGGTGGTTCTTTCCCATCATTTTCTTGCACTTTTTGCTCTAGTAATTCCTTCTGTGCTGAAAACTTTGCTTCTGTGCATCTCAGCTGCTGGACTGATTGTTTCAGTTCTTCAAGTGTCTGTTTTTGGCTTAGCAAAAGCACAATACTAAAAGAGAATAAATTAAATATAAATGATTTCGACTTCATTAAAAAGACATTAAGGAAACCTCATATATGTAAATTATGCTTTTCTTTTCTTTGATTTCATTTTTATAGGAGCCCGTTAGAATCATAAAAAAATATAAAACTAAACACAGTTTAAGTCATCATAGTATTTATTAAACACTAGCATTAACAAAATAGAAGAATGTTTGGAGTCAAATCCAAATTCAAGATGATTTCAAATATATTATGATCTATGGCATTCACTTTATTTTAGTTAAACCATATACCTCACAGAGTAGACACTTAGACTGAGAAGTGTAGGGCCTAGAATAAACTAAAATGACAGAAGTAGAATCTTAAATTTACTTTAAGTATCAAAGGCAATATAGCTAGGGTCAGATCTGTGCCTAGGGTAAATTAAATCAAATCGAGGTGACAGTCTGGACACCAAGCTTGTGTATATGTTGTGAGGCATGTATGTCTGGAGGCAGGGGAAGCTACTATGACAAGGACTAAGGGCTAAGATGTAACTGGGAGAATGAGCAAAACGAAGGCCTCCAAATCTTTCCAACATCACCAATATAAAGACAGTAGACTTCCCCATCCCTCCTGTAGAGTACAAGGCCACAGGTTGTCTTATTGTGACTTTTTAACGCTTGGAAGCTGCCTTCAATGGGAATTTCAAACTAATTCACCCACATTAAAGCCACAGGTAAAGAGGTAGTAGTGGTAGCCACTTCTGGAAATAGTCCACAGTAAATTTTACAATAATTTCCAAAAAGGACTGTGCCATGTACTGCTGAAAGTAAGTTATTAATATGTAAGAGACAACAGATTATAAATTAGAGAAAATGTCAAAATTGGAAAATAAGGTCAGAAAATATTCTTATATTGAAACTATAACGTTCAACATAAACTGAATAAATATTCACAGGCAGAAGTAGCCCACAGAGATTTATTTATAAATATGATGCTGATCAATATTTTGATAACTAAATTCAAATTTAATTGAGCTGGGTGCAACCTCAGTGACTGCTATAAAGAAAGTGGTAATCTCCTTATTGCAACAAGTTTCAGGTGAATGTCCTAACAAACGTAGAGAAAGTCTACGTTTGTAGACTAAGAAGTCTAAGAAAAGTAAAACTAATGAGTAAGAATATTTGTAAGAGACATAATGTTCAGAAGACAGACCTCTCCAGGGAATTCAATAAATGGTAATCAGCATTACATCACTATCATTCAACAATCTGTGAGCTGTGTTCTAAATCCACATAGATTTCTTGATAAATTCATGCTGGTTTATTTATTAGTTAGTAACTCCTTTTAAATAATAAATGGCATCTCTGATTTCTCAGTAATCTCAAGAGAAAGTTGATTTTTTAAAACAATCACTTTTGTGAACATAAATTTATAAGGACCACGTCCTGAAAAAGACTGCTCCCACTATGTACTTAAATCTTCCAGAGGGTTTCCTCTGCATCTCCTAGCTACCAAGAAAAAAAAAAAAGACTCCAATAACAACATCAATACAAGAAATAATTTGAAACACACAAGGTAAAGTGGAAAAGTATTTTTTCATGTAGATCTGGATTATCAGTCACAAAAAGGTGAATGATTTCAAAAATGTGGGCAAAATCAACAGGGAGGTATTCTTCAAACTAATAATCCTCTAAAGTAGTATTGTTATAGTAATTTTACACAAACAAATTTCATAAAGACTACCAGGAAAAATTTTTAAAAAGATTTATAAGAATAAAAATAAACTTTGCAAAATGAAATCAGCAATGACAAGGAACAAAGCAAGTAAATATTAACTGAACATCTGAATATAATTCAAAAACATTTATTTATGGAAATAAACAATATACATTTTACTCTATCTTAAACCTATGGTCAGCTGAATAATGAATCCCAAAAGATAACCACATCCTTATGCCCAGAACCTGTAGTGTTTGCTAGCTTACATGGCAAATAAACTTTCCTGGTATGATTAAGTTAAGGATGTTGAGATGTCAGATTATCCTAGATTATCCAGATGAGCCTAGAGTAATCATAAGAATACTTACGAGAGGAGACAAGATAAACAACGTCACAAAAGGTGATGTGACCATGAAACAGTGAAAGAAAAGGCAGTGCAACCTGGGACCAAGAGCAAAGTAATGAGGACAGTGTCCAGAAACTGGAAAAGGCAAAGGAAGCAAATTCTCTCCTAGAGCGTCCAGAAGAAACCAGCCCTACGAAAAGCATAGTATTAGGCCAGTGAAACTCATTTCTGACTTGTGACCTCCAGAACTATAAGAGAATAAATCCGTGTTGTTTAAAGCTACTATATTTGTGGCAACTTGCTACAGCAGTAAGATGAAAGTAATACAAACCCTGATAGACACCATATCCATTTTATGTTCATTTAAAAGGCAAACATTAAACTGTCATTAAAAGTTAAGTTTTTGAAAAAATATTTCAAGTCATAAATATACTAAAGTTTAAAGAAATAGCTTTACGTTAACAAATGATTTCTCATGATGATTCCAAACTCTATGCCTTACTGTTATTTCACCTTGATTTTACCCTGGATAATAAATGGGATCTTCAAATGATTCAAAACATTTGTATAATTTTTTTAAATCACTAATAACATTCTCTAACTAGAACAATCCATTTTCTCTAATCCTCACTGGGAACCTGAATAGCCCCGATATGATTTGGCTGTGCCCCCACCCAAATCTCAAATTGTAGCTCCCATAATTCCCACGTGTCATGAGAGAGTCCTCTTGGGAGGTAACTGAATCATGGTGGCAGGTCTTTTCTGTGCTGTTCTCGTGATAGTACATAAGTCTCATGAGATCTGACGGTTTTACAAAGGGGAGATCCCCTGCACATGCTCTCTTGCTTGGCTGCTGCCATGTAAGATGTGTCTTGCTTCCCCTGCACCTTCCATCATGATTGTGAGGTCTCCCCAGCCATGTAGAATTGTAAGTCAATTAATTAAACCTCTTTCCTTCTTCCTGCCCTCTTCCCACTCTAGCCCATGGCACCAGCACCATGCTCTTCTGTTCTTTTCTCAAGTCCCTTGTGGGCAAGGATGGGGCTGTGGAACTCTCTGTTCTGTGGATCGGTATCTCAGCATCAAACTAACTGACATCATTGTCACAGACCATGAGAAATATCCTCACATTTTATCAGTGAAGAACTGCTTCATTCTGGGCTCAGTGGTCTGATACGTGCAGTTGCCAGCAGACAACGTCCACACAGTTGCTACAGGATACGGCAAGGAAGGAAGCCCTGCAGCAGAAACAGTGATGGCTCCTCCTCCTCTTCTCCTTCCTCTTTCATTGGTGATCCATAACCCCAAGTCCCAGCCCAAAATCCTAATCCCCAATACTTGAAGGGGTTTTGGTTTTTTCGTTTGTTTGTCTTCTTTTACTAATCATGGTTTTGTAGGGTTTTTAAAGGGATGAGTAGATAAGAGGAATAATAGAAAACAGCTATCCTCTGTTGAGAAGGTAAGGAAAGGTAAGCTGGAAAATTTCAAAGCTTTCTAGGCCCCAGCACCTGCCTTTCTAGCTACTTCCCTGGAGATGGTGGGAGACTTTCCTAGGTCTTTCCAGGGCAGCATGTGATTCATTTGGGGATGAAAGAAATCTGTCCTGCATCGAGAATAAAATTTATGATGCAAAAAGAAAAGAAATTTAAAAAAAAAAACAAACCTCTGTCCTTTATAAATTACCCAGTCTTGGGTATGTCTTTATGAGCAGTGTGAGAAAAGACTAATACAGCCCCTACCAGTTCTAATTATTGTTTAAATATCTGCTCATGGAATCCTCCAATTCAAGTAGGAACGCTTTCTTTAAATGACTATTCATTGGTTTTTGCGCTCTTAGAACCATCCAAGGCCAAGCTCTTATAACCTTAAGGCCTTTTTTCCCTTTCCTTTTGCTTGCTCCACACAGTTGCCTTTAGTCTTGTTGCTATTAATCATTCAGCCACTCACACAAATATGG